GTTTTAAGTCGACACCTCAATCTCTACGTGTTGTAATAATAATATAAGATCGGCGCTTACACAATATGTTAGTGTTTGGCCGAGATTCTCCTCCGATTTGTCGCGTGCGCCCTAATGTTGTGGCACAAAAGGGGTCTCTACAATTTTATGTCGATTTTGAACGGCGATTTTGTTCTATTGGGAAGTTGCTTTTCATTTTCAAGCTTTGCGCACTTCTAACCATCACCTATATTCAGATAAGTTTTTTGGGATTTTGGTATCGATATTTGGAGAATCGAGTCTTTTTATTCCGATATTAATGGGTACCCGATATTTTTAAAGCGATACTTTAAATGAGTACCATATCGATACTTTCGGTTCGATATCGTGTCCCTACTTACACCTGCGGCGAAAATCAACTCTTCGGCAGGTACCTGGGCCCGTAATTCTTCAGTTCTCCGCCGCTTGCTCCTCAAGGAAATGTTTTTTTTTTTTGCCTTTGACTAAAAAGGTTGGGGTGGGTGGGGGGGAGATTTTATTTTTCATTCAGATAAGCAAGGGTTCAAACTTTATTACCACATTTTAAATGTAAGGCGACAAAGCCCGACACATAAACAAAAACACTATTGTTTTGAGTCAAAATTTCTGAAACGGGCCACTAAAAATTAAGTATTAGAATTTCAAATATGCTTTGGCAGATACTCAAAGGTCTATATGTGAAAATTAATGTCTAATAATATTTTTTGAAAATTTCAATTTTTCAAAAATTTATTCATAAATGAATTTTTGACCTTTTCATCAATTTTATATATTAATTGCTATATTTCCGTAAATATTCAATGAAAAATAACCAAATTTTAATGGTGTATTCAGAAAAAGTAGCAGAATCGAAAAAAATATTCATACTGGAAAAATTTAATTTTTTTAATAGTATTAAATAATAATAAATTTCCCAATAAACAATTGACAATTTAACAGACTTCTCCTTGCGTTAAACAAAAAAAAAATTTACGATCTAAGGTATACACTAACCATTCGTGCAAAAATATTTTAGTGCACTCCTATAACAAGTAATTTTTAGCAAAAAAAAAACCGACTTAAAAAAATATATAAATAATCTATATATTTCATCATTCAATGATCGGATCTAAACCAAATTAGTATGGGACCACCTCTGAGACACTACCTTTCCGTTGCAAATTATCGAAATCGGTTGACGTGGTGCAAAGTTATGCGGTGACATACATAAAAAAAAATAAAAATAAAAATAAGTGCACTAAAATATTTTTGCACGAATGGTAAATTTTTTTTTGTTTAACACAAGAAGTCTGTTAAATTGTCAATTGTTTATTGGGAAATTTATTATTATTTAATACTATTAAAAAATTAAATTTTTCCAGTATGAATATTTTTTTCGATTCTGCTACTTTTTCTGAATACACCATTAAAATTTGGTTATTTTTCATTGAATATTTACGGAAATATAGCAATTAATATATAAAATTGATGAGAAGGTCAAAAATTCATTTATGAATAAATTTTTGAAAAATTGAAATTTTCAAAAAATATTTTAAGACATTGATTTTCACATATAGACCTTTGAATATCTGCCAAAATATATTTGAAATTCTACTACTTAATTTTTAGTGGCCCGTTTCAGAAAGTTTGACTCTTTAAACTTTTGTTAAAAATACCACGTTTTTAAGAAGGAAATTTTCAACATAAGTCTAATATAAGTCGGAACTTTGACGAGAAATTAACTGCAACATATTTTTATACAGAGTACATACCTTCAACATCCATATTCAATACGAATTTTTCTGGTAATTCACCATATGAAGACATGCTAACACAGAGAAATGTGTAAAATAATCAAAAGCGCCGAGAGCAAGGACACGCCTTACACACAAAGGCCGGTTATCGTACTTATTTAAACATGCATTGTTTGCGTCATTTTATGAATTTTAGAAAAACCACTTTTGACCGGTTTTTTTGCCTCAACTACCCCTTAGTGCGTCAGTCCTAATCGCCTAGCTCGAGTGAGTATTCTTCGCTTTCGTAGACAGACCTTCCTGAGTTCAGCAATTTCTGCCGTCCACCAGTATACCGCTCTCCTTTTTAAATTACAGTCAATTTTTGGCATTAAAGCATTGCACCCTTTTGTTATGCATCGCATGGTTGCCCTTACTAATTTCCTAGCGTCGCTATTGACGCAGATTCGGCTCGCGTTCTCGTCAATGTTTGCGATGAGCAACGATGGCTTCAGCTTTTTTACATTCCACCTGCGTGTACCAGTTTTCTTTTTCTCTGACCCTTGATGGTGTCCCAATTCAATGTTGAAGATGATGTATTGATGATCGCTTCTGGTGAAATCCTCTAGAACTTTCCACTCCTTAATTGATCCGGCTATACTTTCCGACGCTAAAGTTATGTCAGGTATGGTCCCAGTACATCCTGGTCTCAGGAAAGTTGCAGAGTTGCCTGTGTTGACGACGACTAGTCCTAATCTAACAGCCATGTCCAGTATCCGCCTACCTCTTGAGTTCATTGTAGACGAGCCCCATTCTATTGCTTTTGCGTTAAAGTCTCCTGCCATTATTATACGGTCTCCTATTTCTAGCGCTTTGTCTTCGATGAGTTCTAGTTTCCGAGTGCAATCTCCGATGTTGTCGCTAGGCGTTAAGTAGCAGCATTATGGTAAATAGGTTGTTTTGTAAGTATACAAAACCGTCTCCAGATCCCTTTTTAGCAAAAGTATTGTTACTGCTTTAGGGAAGCCAGATGGCGGCAGTTCCTGACTCGTCTTCGACCATACCATCGTAAATTGTGTGTCTTATTGTTCACTGATTATCACTGCATGTACTTCCTTTTCAACAATAAGTTGCTCTATAAGTGCATCTGCTGTCTTGCTCCTATGCATGTTTGCTTGGAGTATCTTCATGTTTGGTTATTCCGTTTAGACATCGGGAACCTGCCAGAACCCGGCATGTGTTTTATATCGTTACTTTCAGCATCTATACATAAGCAGCATTTCGGTTCGTTTGTACATTCCTTCATCTTATGTCTTGTTTCTCCACATCGGATGCAGATACCCTTGCCACTTCTGTCTGGTCCCTTACACTTCGTGCGAAGATGTCCTACGACGAAACACTGGAAGCATAGCTTGAAGTTAGTGGTCGCCGTCATCCTAGCACTGATCCATCCGATTTTGATGTTCTTCGCCTGAAGAAGTTTTACCGCACTCTCGCTGGTAAGTGTTACGAACGCTCTGACTTGCTGTCGGGTGTTTGGTGCAGTGACTTTTACCACCTCTCTGTCGGCGACCAGTTTTCTTACGGCGTCTTCGACCTCTTTCTTGTCAGTTAAGGCGTCTAGGTCCCTGATCTCTACAGTCGTGGTGGGCCTGAGAGTGGTGATAGAGGCAACCTCTTTTACTGACTCCTCCAGCTGCCGTACAAAATCAGGCTGGATGGATTTTTCTTTTTTGTAATTATTAACAAATATACATTTGTACCAACTAGAAGTCTCAAGTAAATTGCAGACTTTCGCGAACTAGATATTTACTTCGCCGTATCCAACTATGCTACTTGGCCACTATAACAAAATTTTGGTAACTATAACTAAACCTTTTACTGGGTGTACCAAATAGAAAAAAATCCTGCCCATGTGTGGTAGATTTTTAAATTTTAGATATTTATAANAGCTACTTGGCCACTAACAAAATTTTGGTAACTATAACTAAACCTTTTACTGGGTGTACCAAATAGAAAAAATCCTGCCCATGTGTGGTAGATTTTTAAATTTTAGATATTTATAATCGGCAAAGTCACTACATATGCCAGAATGGTGTTAAGACTTTACAGTTCAAGGCAAAGGTTGCTTCTTCTCATTTGAATCGTACGCCCCGGTAATAAAAATGCTTATCGGTGAGTAAGCTTTAAAATAAGTTGTAGTTAGTTGATTTGAGTATAACAAATGGGATCCTTAAAGAGAAGATACGTAGTATCTTCAAATTGTGCTAGTACGAACACCTATCCTATTGAAATAATTTCATACACATACTATAATTATGTATGTGGAAAACTCCGATGAAAATAACTACTCAATGGCTTGAATATTTGAAAATATTTAGAATTCTGTAGAATTTAGCCCATGGGCGTATGCAGGTACTGGCTGGGGTGGCGCAAATTCCAAAGTTTCATTGTAAGTTTCTTTCTATGACTTAATAATCAATTTCCAATTCAAAAAATTGTTGCAATAAATTAAAACTTTAGGGGTCTTCACATCCATTTCGGTCGTTTTGGTAAAAAGCTCGATAATTTTATCAACTGTGAACGTCCTTTTCAGCTTACTTTTGTTAGTCTGATAAATTATGTTTATAAACAGCTGATTGGTGGTTTTTTCCTATCCAAAAAATAAATTGTAACATAATATAATGATTTTTACTCAATCCTATCGGTCATTTATTTCTACTTAGTTTGTACTTGAATTTAGGTTTAGGTATGCTTGGCGTTCACAAACATGAAATCATCACTGAAACAATTTATCGATTTGCAGAAGACCATCTAAAGACTATTTATATATTTAGTTTAAAAAACAAGTAATTTTTTAGCAAAAAACAAAATCGACTTCAATTCTCATGTAAAACTTTAAGTTGTTTGATTGCTATATTTTANGCAGAAGACCATCTAAAGACTATTTATATATTTAGTTTAAAAAACAAGTAATTTTTTAGCAAAAAACAAAACCGACTTCAATTCTCATGTAAAACTTTAAGTTGTTTGATTGCTATATTTTAACATTTTTAATAAAATTTACATTACAAAAAATCTCAGTAAATAATAATGTTAAGATATAAATTCATTATGGCTACTGCTAAAATGAGAGTACAGTCTTTCAAAATCGTGGCCTTTGTAATATGTAAAGCAAAAATTTATATTTATTTTATATGTCAAAAATTATCTATTTACGTATATAAAAAAGCAATAATAAATATTAAAACTTATATATCTATCGCTCAGGAATTGACATCGAACAAGTTACAATCGTTGTAAATTTCGATTTACCGATGGATGCAAAGGGAAACGCTGATTGTGAGACCTATTTACATAGGATCGGTCGTACTGGAAGATTTGGTAAATACATACATGTCTACATATACTACCATGGCCACTTTTAATTCATACAGTCTTTATCTTTTGATGCATTTTTATCAGTGTGCGAAATTAAAATAAAAAAAACGTTTTTAGAAAACTGCCGCAATTTTAAGCAGATTTTAGATAATTATGTATATTTATTTAGTGCAACACAAGATTTGGTAATTATAACCAAATAATGTAGTTATTTATTACCTTTTATCTCGTTGTAATACACAAATAAACTGAATCGAAAATTTTTGTTCATACAGTAGCTAAATGTACGATTACTATTTTATGCCATTGCCGTTTGCCATTAGTACTTCCCTTTTTCCTGAAAGCATTATTTTTAGTAATCCCGCAGACTGTTTTAGAGTAATATAGCTTCTGTTTTTATGTATAATATTTCACATAACATTATATTCGAAAATAAAATACGAACTAGGATTTGAAAACAAATTTTATTTCGATTAGAATACACCTTTAAAATTAAATAGTGGGATAATTCATCTAAACCTCGAAAAATAAATAAATTAATGTTTGGAAAATCGGTTTACTTACGAGTTTTACGCGTTTGCAAAGCGTTTATGCGTTTAAATGAATACCCATGTTATGTGTTTTAAAGGATATTTTAATGTAAGCTTGCTGCTGTTTCAATGCACATCTCAGACTTTGGAGAGTACACCCCTCAGCACGCATACAGGGCTGGAAAGTCCACGGACACAACCCTGTATCAACTGTCAACCGAAATCCGGGGTGCCTTCGAATGTAGCGAGTCAGTGCTAGGGTGGCCAGATATCAGGGTGGGCAAAAACTCGGAGTTCGAGCGAGCGAGTGAGCAAACTCCTACTCAATGCCTCGCAGACAACGAGGCACTCGCAGCTCGTACTCGTAGCAGCAATGAGGCGAGGCACGAGAAGTTTGGCTCGCTCGCCAAACGAGCGAGCGCTGCTTGTTTCCTCGCGCTCCTATTAAATGAGCGAGGCTGTTGGGTGTTGCCTCGCTCGCAGTGCGAGGCGAGTAGCTGTCTGCATACTCACTCTGCTAGGAAAGACGAGTGAGCGACGAGCGAGCACTCCGAGTGTACTATACAACACATGCATTTTTGTGCATAAAAATGTGGGAATGTATGTCAATAGATTATGTACGAAAGTATGTTAATAATTGTATGTACATATGCATATATATATGTAAAGTATTATATTAGGGCAGCATATAAAACACTAAATATAATTGATTACATACATAAGCATAGATTATGGAATGAATTATTTTTTAGAGTTATATTCATACATGTGTACACAC